ACTGAACAAGGCCCAAAATTACATGTAGGGACTGGGAAAGGTGGATAGATACAGTCTCACACCAAATCATAAGGATGTATAGTGCCTGGGTGATGGTCTGTGCACTGCCTACTTTAAATGTGAGATTGCATCAACCTTGGTCCTTATACATCATCAGTACCCCCAGGACACTCTGCCCCTCTCACTGGAGGGCTGGAGGGCTAAGCAAAGAATTCCTGCAAAAGCCTCCATTTGCAAAGGGCTCCCAGGTCATCCATCTCTTCATTTCCCACATGGCTGTACTCCTTTGGACTGACTTCAATTATGGGCGCCCCCCCGCCCCGGTGCAGGGCGCCTTCTTTGCCTCCCACTTTTTAGCTTCCTTTTGTATGATGCCTTCTTCCATTACATTGTAAGCTCCTTGAGAGCAGGGACTTTTTGTATTTGTGTCCCCAGTGCTTAGCACAGTGCCTGGAAGATAGCAGGTACTTAGTGTTTGCTGACTGATTGTATGACCTCTCAACATCCAGACTCTCCCACATCCAACCTATCCTACACACCACCCAGTGTCTGATTAATCTTCCTAATGCATAGCTCCAATAATGCCACTTCTTTGTCAACAAAATAAAACAACAAAAACAAAACAAAACCTTCTAATACCTCTCCATGATCCAGCAAAAATTTCCAAACTCCTTAGTCTGGTATTAAGGCATTTCGTTATCTGGCTCATTTCTACATTTCCACCTTAATCTCCCTCTGCTATATGCTCCCATATGTAATCTATGCTTCAGCTAAACTGGAGCTCATCATTACTTAGCACAATCCACACTTTCTTTCCTCTCTGGTTTTGACCACATCTGTGTCTTCACTTGGAATGCTCTTCAGCTCATCACCCTTAGCTGAAATGCTACCTATCACTCAATGTCCAGCTCAAACATCTATAATTCCTTCCCAGATCTCTCCAGCTCAAAGTTAGTTCTAAAAGTTATCTGAGGAATCTGTGATTTCAGTGGTCTGCATACACCTTCCAGTGATGCCAGCTGCAAACTCTTGCACATGTTACTAAACAGCCTTACTGAGTTGAGGTGTCTGAATCACTTGGTGGCCAAGTCTCGGAATGTCATCACAGTTCTTTTATAATACTTAACATATTCTGTCTCATGTTATAAATGTTGGTGTACATGTCTTACTGCCCCTCCTAGAATATTTATTGATGCCAAAGACTAGTTCATTCATTTTTATATATTCCACATCAATTAGCACAGTGCCCTCCTTTCATATGGGAGATATTCATAAAGTGTTGTGTTTTTTTTAAATAGTGTTCATCAAATGAATGAGTGAATGAATGCCTTTGGTAAGGAATCATTTAGAGTCAAACAGTTATAAATCAAGAACTGTTTTTACTGAACCTTTAACTGTGGATAATATTGCTTAAGTCTAAAATAGTATTAGAGTAAATTCTCCCAGAAGTAGAGATGTGAATGGATAGAGAGTGGTCCCTGAAGCCATAAAGACCTGGGTTCAAGTCCTGTCTTTGATATATAGTACCTGTGTGACCCTGAGCAGGTACTTAACCCCTCAGTGCTCTAGAAAACTCTTTAAGACTAGAAGTGATAGAGAAGGTACTGAGGGATTTTCCTTATCTGGGAGTTTCCACTATGAATGAAATTTCAAGTCCAATTGGGAAACTAACCCAGGTTTAAATATAATCAAGAATTAATTCTATTTCACCAACATTGATGTTATTTGCTATACAAAATTATACTGTAGTAAAGAGATTGGGAGCTGGGAGGAGGTTGGAATTTTGTCATAGCCAACTTCCACATTTATGGTGCTGTAAACCCAAGGCAGAATAGGTTATTGAACAAGCTATTTTTGAAAAGTTTACTTGTTAGGAGCAGGCCACTTACCTACTTCTGGCAAAATTGTAAATTGCAGATTTATTACTGGCTGAGAATTCATTATCTTTTAGATATTTGAAATGGGGAAGTGGCATAATATTGTACTTCTCTCTCACTGATTCCCACCAAAACAATAGGTCTCTGATGAGAAGGCAACAGTAGTCTATGTGACTAGATTTGGGATGTCGCTTTCTGTGGTTAACAGGGTTAGACTTCCCTGGAGGGCTTAAGAGTCTTGTTTTGTTTTGTTTGTTTTTAAAGGACAGCAGCCACTCCAAATCACTATTAATAAGGCAAATACAAATCAAGACGATTCTGAGATTTTTACCCACACCCACAAACTGGAAAAGATGACAAAAGAATAAGGGGGCTATTCCACATCTGGAGAGGGTGTGTAATAGTTCACTAATACACAGTTAGCAGCGCTAGGAATTGTTCCGACCATTCTGGAAAGCAATTTGAAAATTGTGCTTGAAAAAGTATCAAAAATATACATAGTCTTTGAGACAAAGGTCTCATTGTTAAGCATATACTCCAAGGAGATCAAGGATAGAAAGAAAGATACCATATATACCAAAATATCCACAGCAGTGTTTTTTTTTGTGGTAGCAAAGTAGTAGAAATAAATATAAATAAAAATAAAATAATACAGTAACATGATCAATTTGTGGTTAGCTAAATAAGTTGCAATACATGAATGTAATGGAATATCACTTCCCTGTTAGAATAATGAATATGAATAATTAGAGAAGTATGGGAAGACATATATGATATGATGCAGAATGAAACAAATAGAACCAGAAAACCAATATATAAAATGACTACGACAATGTCAACGAAAAGAACAAAAACAATAGAAAACTGAATATCATGTGATTTTTTTTAGATTCCCAAGAGTTTGTAGGGACTGAAGTTCCATTTGAGAAGCCTCCTCTATAAAAAATAAATAAATAAATAAAACAGGCTAAGAGTTTCTATGTAACTTATCATCTGAGTTTCCCAGACTTAGAGAACTTAGAACAAAAATGGCATGACTTTGCCTCACACTTCAGGGGCACTATGGAGTTAATAATAAACACTGAAAAGAGGGAAATAGATCAAACTTTGTGGGATATAAGGAAGAATTCTATAGGACTTGCCCCTCTTTATTCTGGCTTTTCTCTCTGTCTTGGCAGGCAAAGCAACAAGCAGTAGCTCAGCTTGTCTTCTCTTCTTTAATGGTTATGTTAGAAGAAACTCCTCTCTCTTTTCAGCTTGATAAAGGAACACCTAGAAGCAGGGCTCTCTTCCTCACCCCCACTCTCTTCCTTTCCCCTTCACTGGGTTGCTTCTTAAGAAATATCTAAAAGCCTAGGACAAGTAGTGATTTGTGATCTAACTCCATCCTTTTTGCAAGAATGCTACTGTGTTTATACTTTAGGGTTATTGTTAATATCTATAAGGTGCTTTGCAAACCTTTAAGTGCTACACAGATTCTAGCTATTATCAGCATCATAAGTACTAAGAATTTCATGTTTCAATATATAGAAGCCTTTCTGTGGATACAGTTTCATATTCTATTATGCTTACACTGTATCAATACTTGAATGACTTGATTTCATCCATATGAGGACAGCCTCCAATGGTTCAAATTACAAGCCATCCATGCCTTCTTTTCCTCTGTGATTCTTATCCATCTCCTCTTCTAAAATCTCTACAAAGAGACCACTCAGTATTCTGGGGGCCTTCTTCTAGGTTTCTTAACGTTAAGTGAACAGCAATGCAACACGTAGGCTACTTGTCTTTTATTAACCTTCACTATCAATTGAGGACCAACTCACCAGCTTTTCCAGTCATACAACTCTTTGATTTAATTGTTTATTGTGCTTCTTATGGTCATTTTGTCATTAGTAATAGACTGCAGCTTAGTTATACCTACTACATATATTATCATTACCTTTGGGGTCATCAATGATTTTTATTCTTCAATATTGTGGTACTCCATGATTCAGAGCCATATAGGATTACAGGAAAATACCAGTGTTAAAAAGATGGGTTTTCTGTTTGGGGAAGTAGCTTTAAATAATTCAAAATACTGCAGAATTTTCCAAATGCAATCCAGATTGATCACTTCTTTACATTCAATTCAGGACCCAGCTCACTGTTCATCTACAGTGTCTGCCCAACATATACAATATATTGAAACTGATGAATCAGCTTAATAAGCCCATCCAACCATATCATATAGTCTGACATTAAACATTCTTCATCTACTTGAATTTTCCTATATCAGTTGTTAGGCCAAATTCTTTTTGAACTGGTATGGATCTCATTTAAGAAGATCTGTAGTGGTCTTGGGCTTGATGTAATCAGAACAATGTCTTCTACAAACAGGAGTATCTGGAGGACCACACCCATTTGGATTCTGCACTGAACATCCTTCACAACACCATGAAACACTTTTCAAAGCATATATCTTTTTGTTGTATGCCTTTCTTGATAATAATTGTCATCAAAGTTGTCTCTATTTAACAGGAGAGACACCTTGTTGGAAGAGTCTTTAAGGATGAATTTTATTCTACTAGATCAAACACTTTGTAATAATCCAATATACCAAGCTGTCTTTTATTTTCTGAACTTTTCAGTTAATTGTGTGACTGTAAAGATGTAGTTGGTTGCAAAAAATAGTTTGTAAAATTCTTTTCATCATGGATGCCCTTGATATAAGGATAAGTTATCTTCTTAAAGATTGTATAGAAATAAGAAAGTAGAAATACAAGCTGGTTTTTATTTATGCCTTCTTGATTGTTTCTTTTTTTTGCATGGGGGCATAGTAATACCGTATTTTCATGGGTTGAAATGGAATGACTGCCCAAGTGTTGCATTCATGCTCACACATAATAAAATGACATCAAAATAAGTCTAAGGCACATTGGATACCTCCTCTATGGAGGATTTATGGGAGAAACATGGACAAGAATCATTCAAGATGAGAAGGCGCGAAGGGACTGCAATCTTCACTAATTCCCATATTGTAGAATGTCCACCATAATGAATAAACAAATCCATTGAAGAACTAAAATACTGAATACTGCCCATAACTGTTTTCAAATATTTGATATATTCTCCTCTTTCAGATACCTTGGAAATAAGTCCCTTAATGCCTTCAAAACTGTGTTGCCTCCAGCAAGGATTTCCTCTGTGTATACTTGGTCTGGTCCAGCTGTTTTTCTCCATCTTCATCTTTTTGGTTCCATTTCCATTTCTTCATATAGTACATCAGGTACTGGATGTTAGAGTTCAAATGTGGTGGTTACACTGTCATCAATGAAAAAAAGTTTGTTATAGAAATTCAGAGACATCTGTTCCATTTTTTCATCTGTTTGTTCTACTCCTTCCAGTTTCATATGTCAATACTCTAGGAATGATAGGGCTTCATTAGGCCTCATGCCAAACTTTTTTTTTTACAGTTTTTTATTAGTAGTTTTAAAAGTGAATTTTAATTTTGAATTTAACAGATGCCAAATAGAATGCATATTTGCACATATGTAGTAGAATAGAGGATTTTACATGAAACTGCAGGTCTCAATTATGTACAGCATTCATGTCAAAACTATTTGCAAACTTCTGTATTTTCAGTGACTCATATTCTATCATTAAATACCCATCTCCCACTTGATCAAAGTTTCCTGTTTATGAAGGGAATTTAGCCTACCAAAACAAACTATTAGCTGTGTAATTTAAACAATTCTGAGTATTACTGGCTGGGAATGAGAGTCAAGTGTACACAAGGATCTGCTCCTAGACCTATGTTTAAAATATTTCTGATAAAAATTATGACTATAATTTTTAATAGTAATACTTCTAACATAATATGTAATATTGTTATATAGAACTACTAAGGTACTTACATAGTACTACTTATAACATAATATGTAACTCATATAGTTACATATAACTACTATATATAAAGGGTGACTACTTAAAACTATTTTGATTCTTACCTATTTCAATAGGCCACTGAATGGCTAGATTCATTTCTAAGTGAATTCACACATATAGGGCAAGCTGAGAAATTCTGATAAGTCATTCTCTATATAGATATGGCCTAGATCTTCAATGGGAGGAAACTTCAGAAATACTGCCAATGGTGGGCACTCTAGGTCCCACTGGTATAAATAAATACATCAGAGAATGTAGGTAATGTATTAAGCTAACACAAGTTGAAAAATTCCATGAAACTTTGGTAGGGAAGGTCATGTTATAGTATCAGTCTAAAAAGGGGGCAGTGGTAATGTAAAGTTTAAGTGGTCATGAAATACTGTAAATAGGTCATAGGGATCCTGTCACTTATTATTAAATTTATAAATGTATATGACATTATAAATTTATAAATATGTATGACATATTGACAAAAGAAACAGAGAATTGCACCTTCAGAGAATGATATGTAAAAAAATTGTTCTCTTGAAAACTTCTTGTTAGGGGTGTGTGCGTGTGTGTGTGTGTGTGTGTGTGTGTGTGTGTGTGTGTGTGTGTGCATGTGTGTATTTAAAGTGAAAGGTGGGAGAAGAAAAAATAGTATTCCATAACAGAATGACCTCAGAGGCAGTGCAAGACACATTTTCATTAAAAAACACACCATTAAAAAATATTCATCCATGATGTATGTAGACAGAGGATGAGAAATTGCAGAAAGCAAAGATCATCTAAGATCGACTTAAGAAACCTGACTTACATAGAAGTTAGTAGGTGGATTCATCCAAACCACACTATTTACATCTTCCAAACCCTATCATTTTATGCAACGGCTTAAATTTCACACATGTCACAAGCTCTTCCCCATCTCCTCCCCCACCACATACTGTGACTCCCTCCAAGACTCACATTAGGGGAAAAAGGGAAGAAAGGGCTATTATTTTGATGTCTCACAGGAAAAAATAAAGCTCCACATTAACTTCTGAATTGGAATTTATTGGGCATAACTTTAAGGTAAAATGTTTTACAAGGAAGAAAAGAAGCCATAAGGCTCTCTGTGACACCAAAGCAGAATAGGTCAGGCTTCACTTTTCCCTCTGTTCCCAAGACCAACTCAATAGGTTAAGTCGGTCAGCACTTTGCCTGGTTTAAGTGCTGAATGACTTACCAAAATATTGAATAGGTTAAGTGTTTAAATTAAATTGTCTATTTAAAAATTCCTCGAACAGCACCTTGAATTCTTAAGAGAATGAACACTATGTAAATGAATAAATATAAAAAAACCCCTCATCCTTCTCAGAGTCAACAGTGTTAATGGTGTCAGCTTGTATTTGTAAAAATGTGCCAGTGGTGTGCACATGTGCCTAACAGTCCCTGACAATAAATTATCTTTGTGAGGCAAAAGTCACTATATAAATGAAGATTGACATAACACTGTTTTTAGTTTATCCAATAGTTAAAATAAGTTGCTTGTTTTGTGTTTCATGGTTTGTTTTTCTTTGTATACAGCTGTATGGTGTTATTTCATTCTATTTAGTCCCTCTTTTGCCTATAAGACATATTGGCAAGGCTGTCCCTAGACATTCGCTCCTTTTTTTTTCTTTTGGTGAGGCAATCAGGGTTAAGTGACTCGCCCAGGGTCACACAGGTGTCTGAATGTCTAAGTGTCGGAGGCTGAATTTGAACTCAGATTCTACTGACTCCAGGGCCAGTGCTCTGTCCACTGTGCCACCTAGCTGTCCCTCATTTGTTCCTCTTAAATAAGATTGAACTATAACCTTTTTGACCTAATTGTTTAAAAACTAAACATAGTCCTTTTATAAGCACAAAAACTTATGAAATAGTCCCATCAGACTGTATTATCCCAGTCTTAAACTGAGTCTTACTGAGGTTGATTCAATCAAAACTGATAGGGTGTATGGCATCACAGGCCTTGTTCCCCTGAGACCCCATTACTTTTTCCCACTAGCTTTTTGTCTCAGTGGGACTTGTTGTCATCCATCTCTTCAGCATCCTGGAGTACCCTAGTCCTCAAATGACCTACAGAGGGAAGAAGCAATGCAGTTTCCTTTTCCTCACCCCTCCCCAATCTCTGATAATGGCACACCAACCATTTCAATGGTTTAAAAGGGAATTTATTAATGACAAATCCACTACGGAGTAAACTGTGAGCAATGCTGATGGTGTTGGCTATGGCAAATGCAGTGATATATGAAACCATTAGAAGTTCACAATTTCTCAAAGTCCTAAAAATATATGTCACTCTCCTTAGCTCCCTCCTTCCTTACTTTCTTTTCCTTATTCTGGGCCTTCATACTTACTCAGTTGCATTGGCAATGCTCTCAAATTGTCTAGTCAGAACTGTCATTCATGGGGGCAGCTAGGTGGCGCAGTGGATAGAGCACCAGCCCTGAAGTCAGGAGGACCTGAGTTCAAATCTGGCCTCAGACCAAAGACTTGACACTTACTAGCTGTGTGACCCCAGGCAAGTCACTTAACCCCAATTGCCTAAAAGCAAAAAAAAAACCTGTCATTCATGAAATCATTCTTTTAAAAGGATTTGTGAAGTGTTCACTAAGTATGATTGGTATTGGGAATAGAACAAAATACAACAATCCCTACCCTCAAAGATCTTATGTTCTGCAGGGAAGAAATTGTCTATATAAAGAAAATTAAATACAAAACATTTAAAAAATGTGAAGTAACTCATGGGAAAGGGAGCACTAGCGAGCTAGAAGATTGGTAGAGACTTCCTGTAGGAAGTGGCATTTGAGCTAAGTTTGGAAGGAAATTAGAGATTATGTGAAGCAGAGGCAATTGCTTCTGCATTACAGAAGGAATGCATTACAGACACCTGGTATGAATTCGGCAATTAAGAAGTCACTGATGACCCAGGGTGAGAGAAGTTTCAAGTGAATGGTGATGTGGAAGACTGGAGGCTTACAAGGGACTGGAAAGTGAGTGGGAGGTGAAAAAGTAGAGGCAACAAATATAGAATTTTTTTTTTCTAGGAGTTTGGCTGTAAAACAGAGAAGAGATCTAGGAATATAACTTGAGAAGATGGTAGGATCAAGCGGAGGTTTTTTAAGGATAAATGATATCTAGGAATGGTTATAAGCAGTGGGGAAAGAGCCAGGGAGATGGAAAAATTAAATATTAGGAGAATAAGAGGGTTATTGAAGGGAGAAAGTCCTAGAGGACAGACAGGATGATTTCACATTTGTATCTATAGTGCATATCACAGTTACTGGCATACAGGAGGAGCTTAATAAATGCACATAGCTTGACTGGTGGATTGAAAGCAGTTAGTCAATGAACATTTAATGAGCACTTACAATTTGACAGGCATGTGTTAAGGGCTGGGAATCAAAGAAAGTCAAAAGCCAGTCTCTGCCCTCAAGAAGCACCCGATCGGGGAGACAAATAAAAACAACTATGTACAAACAAGCCAGTCACAGAATAAAAAGGAAATAATCAACAGAGGGAAAGTACTAGAATTAAGAGAGGTTGGGAAAGGTTTCCTGTAGAAGGGATTTTAACTCATGACAGATGGCTTTGTCCTTTTTTTTTTTTCAGTAAATTATGAGGCAAGGTCCTCTTCTGGGGGAAGGCGTGAGGGGTGACTTGAGGAGAAAAGAGGTGTGTAACAGATAATGCTATAGTGAGTGAGACAGAGAGTCAGTCAAGCAAGTATGCAGGGGTGGAGAACCTGCGGCCTCGAGGCCACATGTGGCACTCTAGGACCTCAAGTGCAGCCCTTTGACTTCAGGTTGGATTCAGTCAAAGGGCCACACTTGAGGTCCTAGAGGTTTGTGGCTTTGAGACCGCAGGTTCCCCACCCATGCATAAGGATTGGCACACCGCAATGGAGGTTCAATTGAGATTGTTGTTATTGTCGTTGCTCAGTCGTTTCAGTCATATCTGACTCTTTATGATCCCATTTGGGAGTTTTCTTGGCAAATATACTGGAGTTGCTTGCCATTTCCTTCTCCAGCTCATTTTACAGATGAGGGAACTAAGGCAAACAGGGTGAAGTGAGACTTGCCCAAGGTTATAGCTAGTATGTGACTGAGGCTACATTTGAAGTCAGGTCTTCCTGACACCAGGTCTGGCACTCTATCCACTACACCACCCATAACATACATTTGTAGTAGACTTAATGAGCATAGTTGCATGATTTCCTCCATCAGTGCTGAACTTTGCTAACTGTGATATAGCACATGGGAGTTTGGGACCTCTGCAGATTCCTTTCTAATGCAGCCCTGATGCTTAGTCAAGTTTTGTACCATCCTTTTAGACCATGGTGAAGGCAAGAAGGAAGGAAAGAAGGAAGAATGGAA